TATATATATATATATATATATATATATATATATATATATATATATATATATATATATATATATATATATATATATATATATATATATATATATATATATATATATATATATATATATATATATATATATATATATATATATATATATATATATATTCGATTCGTAATCCTACATACAATGTCTTGAATGCACTTGTAGGTACGTACACACACTTATTTACATTCAGTCAACTATATCATACCGACAAATGATTGTAATCGACACGTGTAGGTATTCACACACAATCGCACACGCCAGCAATAGATAAGCGTATACCAGCCCCTTTGTGCTCGCTACACGCACACCCACCCACCCACTCCCATGGAATCAGCCAAAAGCCCTCCGCGGCACTCGACCTCCATGTCATGCAACCACTGCACGCCTATCTTTTGGTGTTCGTACAACTCGACCCCAAGGTTAGAGAAATCCATGCGCTCCTCTTTTGGCATGTTGGTGATCAGCTTCTGCCGGTTGGCACTCGCTGAGTGGGAGATATCATACACAACCATAAATCGCAAAATTAGACCTAAGAAAACGGCGTGGATATAAAACATCGAAAAAGCGGTTATATTGTACTTGCAAGCTACATAGTCGTATGCTATTTAAGAGGTCTGCATAGGACACAGCACCTTTATGTACATCTTGAGTTGGAGTAGTACGGTTGGATGCCATAGGCATAAGCCGCCGAGCTGTCTATGCGATAGAGATGTTAGCATTGGCTCCAAATATGCTCTGTAACGGCTTTCCGTCTGTGCTATCACAATGTCTCGATGTGCACTAAGAACTGGTGGGCTAGCGCTGAACAGTAATACACCGATTTAAAGGTTGGTAAAACCGTAAAACCCTATCAATGTGCAGTATAGGTATACTGTACAGTGTGTTCGAGTGCGCTCATATGTCACACCGTGGTACTGATTTTGCACATACGTATCAGTTGTAGGGCCATGGCACGCATGCACACGCATGCACACGCGTGCTTTAGATGCGTTACATATAAACGTACCGTCAACATGCCGAGTAAACGATCACATGTGACACATAAGGCATATATGTAAACCGCCAACAGATATATACAGATGTTTACAGTGCCGCAGCATGCGGAATATGCAAACAACAACGCTTGTGAATATTGCGTATCAGTAACGTTAGGTATTGGAACGTGTTTGAAAGCAAAGATAATATGCACACAGAGTGGTAAAACTTAAGTATGTGACTCGCCGAAAATATTCTTTCCACAGGGTAACGATACATATGAAAGAACTATTGCAAAAATGAAATACTTAGTGTGAAAGCTTATGGTACGTTATTGCAGTACCAAAGTATGCCTACCCTGAAACATATGAAACACGTATACATACTATATACGTAACAGGTCTAATATATTTATATATATAAATATATATAAATATAAATATAAATATATATATATAAATATATACATATATATATATAAATATTTATATATATACACACAAACATATATATATGTATATATATATATATAAATATTTATTTGTTTAT